CTTGCTTGCCTCAACTTTAAATAAAAATGCCTGTAATAACCTTCCTCAGTAGGCTGTGGTGGGGATTGAGTCGAATGCATTTCCCAAATGTCCTTGATGCTGAGAATCCTCAGGGTACTTGTTAAAATACAGATTCCTGGGCCCTCATCCAGAGCTCCTTGACCAGAATTCCCAGGGGTAACACCTGGCAGTCTGTCAAGCCCCGAGGATCCTTTCTAGGGCAATTTGGGAAACACCAGGCTGATTGGCACGGAGCAGCTAATATTTATCATGTACTTATATGTGTTCAGTCTTTGAAATGGGGATAACGATGACCATCAGGATTATTCTGAGAAACGAGCAAAATAATGTACAAAGTCCAGCGAACAATAAGTTCTATGCATGCCGGTATGCTGGTATCTTCACTTCTCTGAATTCGTCAGGACTCTCTCAGGCCAAAATGGAAACGTCCAGAGGCTCTCCCCAAGGGATGTCCCTCCATCCTCCCAGCCCATTACCCCTAGTAGTAGGTTTCTCAATTTTCCAAATCCCAAGGACCAAGCCTCATTTAACCAATTTGGTTTCCAGGCTCTCCTCGGACCAGTCACTATGGTCAAAGTTTGGAATATGCTGATTGGCCAGGACAGGGTCACTTGCTCATCCTAGGAACCACAGAAGTGGGGGTCAGCCCCATCTGAACTTCAGGAATGGGAGTGGTCCATATCTGTGTGAGTCCTTTCATTGGTCCCTTGACCAATAGCAGCTGATGCTTGGTGGGCAACTCCACTGATGTCCCCTGCATCAGCCCCTACAATCACAGACCGTAAGCAGTCCACGGAAGCCCCATCAGGTTTGAATCTGTCTCCGGTCTTTCCATCTGCTGGCATATTTGTGGCTACCTTGAGGGCCTCATTCAGGCAGATGAAGCCTCAGACCTGCCCTCATCTGTCTCACCATCTCCAGTCCTTGGCCCCGCTCACCCCTGGCCCAGCCAGCCACAGGGGCCTGTCCAAGGGCTGGTCCCGGGACTCAGGGCTGCCATTGTCCAAAGCTGCTTATTAGGGACCCACTGTGGGAATCTTTCCAACCAAGAACAATGAGTTTCTGAATGAGGATAAAAACAGCCTTTGCAAGTCAGCAAATGAGACAAACTGAACTGCTTATCCCCTCTTCCCTCATCTGCCTGGCTCTTTCAATGTAGTGCATGAGAACAAGGTCTCTTGCATCAGAAAGACAAGTTTGAGGCTAGCTGTTTCACCTCTCTAAGCCTTGGTTTTATCTCTGAAATCTGTACGAGGATTGAGGGAGGCAGTAGATACAGCACATGACACAAAGAAGGAACTCATGATCAAGAATCATCACATTACTCTCTCCATCAAGAAATTCGCACCCTTTTCTAGGATGATCAACCTCAGACACTACCAGGAAGGCAAACCCACTGTGAATATTTAAACACATAGGTGAACTCCAAAGTCACATGAAACAGATGTGTCACACACTCACTACATCCTGTCCCCCCAAGACTTGGCTGTGTTCTGGAAGACGTTACACTGTGTACATTCTACATCTCATGACAGCTGGCTTCCCTGCAACCACAGGATGTAGCTGTGAGACGTGGTTCTTTAGAAGCCAGGAATGGGAGTTTGCACTCTGCCACTGCCTTGCAGGATGACCTTGGGCACATCACTTACCTTCCCTGGGTTTGGTTTCCTCTTTCATCAAATGAGAGGGTTGGTTGAGGACTAGGTGATTTCTAAGGGCCCTTCTGTCTCAAGGGTCCATCCTGTGGTTTCCCTGGGGGGGAAACCTGGTACCAAGGGCGAACAGGGGTAACTGCTTCAACACAGCTGGCTCACACAGGTGGCTGCAGGTTGGGGGACGAGGAGGCTGCAGAAACTCTGGTGTGTGTGCGTGTGCTCAGTTGGGTCCAACTCTATGACTCCCTGGACTGTAGCCAGCCAGGGTCTTCTGTCCACAGCTGGGAAAGTATGCCATTTCCTCCTTCAAGGGAAAGTTGCCATTTCCTCCTTTAATAAATTTCCATTTCTTCCTGACCCAGGGATCTTCTGCACTGACTGACCCACCCGGTAAGAGGGATTCCCTTGTAGCTCAGGTGTAAAGAATGCCTGCAACGCAGGAGACCAGGGTTCGATTCCTGGGTGGGAAAGATCCTCTGGAAAAGGAAACGGCAACCCATTCCAGTATTCTTGCCTGGAGAATTCCACGGACAGGAGACTGGAGGGCTACAGTCCAGGGAGTCCTGAGAGTCAGACACGACTTAGCGACCAAACCACCACCACCTGATAAGAGGGCTGGTGCTGGAACCATACATCCCTGCTTTATCCTTGATGCTGCCTTTATCTGACTGCATGACCCTGGGCCTGTCACTCTCTGAGCCAAGGATTACGGCAACCAGGTTTATGGCACCTACCTAAGAAGGCTGTGAGGATTCAATCAGGCCAATGAGACGCGATACCAGGTATTCAGCAAGAGCTCAGTAAGGAGCTTACTGCCTCCCTCTCTCCGATTGAGCTTCCTCTTCCCACTCGCCATACGTGACTAAGTTTGATGAAATGGAAATAGACCAAAGAGACCTAGGTTTCACCCTGCCTCCTGCTCTTCATACCTCCAAGTCACTGGACCTGTTTTCCTCATTAGTAAAACGGGCACAGTAAGACCTTATCTCAAGGGCTGATGTGACTGCTTAGCATGACTGACACAGACAGGGCTTTCCTCCCTGGGTCTCATCGGCAGTAACCCACCCACCATCATCCATTTTACAATTTATTTTCAATCTATGTGAAATTAACTGATTTCTTAAAAGCCCTTATAGGAGGAGTCAGTATCAGAAAACCTGAGACCAGGCTTGTGTCTCTGAATCTCACTCCACTCCCACGTTCCCTTACCAGCTCTGGCAGGCCAGAGCACACCTGGCCAGTCCATTCTCACAGTCCTGATGCCAGGCACAGCACCTGGCCTCTGGGAGGCCACCTCCCCAACCTACGCCTGGAGCCAGAAAATGTCCATCTGCTCCAAAGAAGGGGGCAGTAGGTATCCGGGCACCACCCAGAGGGTGGGGTGGGTCAGTCTCTCCTGAGAAGCACCTCTTTCTGCTGGAATCGCGTAGGATCTAGGGCTTGCTGTGAGGTTCAAGCCCTTATGGCTGAAAATGAATTTATGTGTATCTATCAACTACCACAGGATGTGGTATGATCTCTGGAACACAGAACCTTGCACATGAGACTTACAAACGTCAATTTTTGGTACAGTGACTCCTAAGCATTTGGACTATAAAATCCACAAAGAGTGTAACACAATGTCTAGTGGTTAAGCTGAAAATAACCTGAATATCTTACTATTTGGTTAGAATTAAGTAAATTAATGGACTACTGCATAGCCATTTCAGGCATATGCTTTTGAAGCCTCTTTAGAGGGAGAAACTATCATACTTAACTCTAAATGAAAAAGGAACAAATCTGTTTTGTATGTTCCTTTGGTTTTCCTGTATTCTTTTTACAGTCTGAACAATAAAACAATAAACTAAAAATAAGGTCCCAAGGCTGGCTTTTTGGTGTTTAATAAACCTTTTTATAATATCTTTATCTTTTAAAACCCCCATCCCCCACCGCTTCCTTGCCCAAATCCAGTCTTTAATGAAGACTGCACACCAAGTCTTGAGTTGAGACCCAAAGTAACCAAACTTAGTATATCAGGTTACAGATCTTGTAAGAAAAACTATTTTATCAGGTAACCAACGTGAAGCTTCCTGCCCCCTACCCCCCCCTGCCCTGTCAGCTAGCAGGTTATCTAGACAACATCGTAGACCAAGGGCCTGTTGGACTCAAAGAAGCCACCCCCAAAAAAATTGTATAAAAAGATTTATTGAAATTTATCAATGACAAACAGACATAAAACTCAAAGTTTGGCTCTTCTGAGGGGGAGGAAAACCGGTGCAGATGTTCTTTTATACAGATGAAACATGGGCTAGGAAGTCACACGTCACTTGGAAAGCAATCCAGAAGAGGGACAGGAAAGCAAACCTGTACATTCACTAGGAATTTGCAGTCATTTCAGATTTCCACTAGGTAAGAAAATACAATTTTGCGTTAAGTTTTTCCGTGCTCAGGTGTATGAAAAAAAAACCCAGCCGACATGCAGCAGTGTCTCCCGTGCCTAGGACTGTAAAAATGGTCTAGGCCGAGCAGGACACGCAGAAGAATTCTCCTGTCATTTTGTAAAACAAAGCGTTCTAATATTTTACAGAACAAGATAGGGACAGTTTTGTTTTTTTATATCTTTGAAAGAGGTTGAAGTTTGAGGGTTTGCTTCTTCTATTTAGAATTACCGAATCCATTTTACTCCTAAACTCTGAAGCCTGCTGTTTCCAGCTCTCTGGCTCATCACTCAAGAGTGACATCAGAGTCTTCTCAGGAGAGCAAAGCCCACCACCGTCTGGGAAGAGAGAAAGGGGATGGAAGACGGGGAAGGTCCCCCAACCAGTGCCAAGATTCGCCTTTAGGTTGCTATTTACAAGCCAAGGCGCTTGCTGCCTCTAGCAGGCCGAAGAAACGTGAAAATCATGGGATCCGGAACAAGAGGTAAGACGTGGCTGGTGCTCAGCCCTCCTGGGCTTTGAGAAACCAAACTGAGGCCAGCCCTGGCCTTCCAATCAACTCAAGAGACTTGGGAAGTATCAGGAAATGTCAGAGATCTCCAAATCGTCCTCTTTGAGGGTAAGGAACAAATGTTCACTTGTGTGTACTCAGCTATTGCATTTACAGGGACAGAACCAGACACAAAGAAAAATTAGGGGAAAAAAATAAAGAGTGGCAGTAAAAATAGTATTTTATTCCACCCCCTCCCACCCTCCCTCCCCCCACAACCCCCAGGACACTTTCCCCTCTCGTTCCCACAGCAACGTTACAGTCAGAAAAAAATAAGTTTCGGGGGTCGGGATTTGGGGGGGTACGGGTAAAAACAGTCAAATCACAATAGGAATTTTTCAAAATAGGTTATTCCACTTAGTCATCGTCTTCTCCCTCATCTTCAGGTTCTCGTTTTCGCTTCTGACCCCTTTCTTCTTCTGGAAGAGTAAGGAAAAGGCATTCAGGTTAGAATGGATCTCGCCTCTGACTCCGTCCACCCGCCGGGAAAGCAGGGATCCCAAGGTCTAGGGCGCTTTGCTGTCCCTGGCAAACTGAGGCCAGGTCCTCAGGGCCCAGCGATCTACTGTGACCGAGGGGGTGAGCCTGCTACCCTCGGAGAGTAAAAAGCTGCCATACCACCAAGCTCCTCTTCATCTTCCTCATCGTCTACTTCCCCGTCGTTATAACCTTCCTCATCCTCCTAGAAGAGAAGACGACACTGGATTTTAGGAATGCCCTGGCCTCGGACATGGGGAAGAAGCCACTTTCCCAACGCTGAGCTCAGAAAGGTGAGGGCCAGCCTCTCAGCACCCGCAAGGCTTGGTCAGGTGAATCTAAAGCAGACGACCTTTATGAATCTGTAGAAAGCTTTGAACCCCCTTTCTGGAAAACACCCGTATCACACACAATACCTCCAAGAGTGGGGAGTGGGGGTGGATTTGACGCCCAGGTTAAGAATTCCTGAACTGGAGTCCTTGTAACTCGGGCAGCTCTGCAGTGTGCCCGCCCAGGGGAACGAGTTACCCTGCCGCCTCTCCATCACATGAAGTGGGCTGAACTTTCATCTGCCCTCAATCTAGTTTTGGTTCAAGGGAAAACCCCAATCCAGATTCCGTGGGTGGGTCCAGCCTCACCCTACCCAGCCCTTTCACTTCCTTACAAACTTGGATCACTTGGGAGGAGAGGGAAAATGCCATGTCCCCCCCTCTCCTTGAAGAAAATCACTTCCAGCTCCTTGAGATTCAGCAAGGGGTGTGAATTCACCCTCAACCCAGGACCACACTTTATGCTGCTCCTGGGGGTCCAGGCTAGTTGAATCTGCCTGATACTGTTCCTGAAGCACCAGGCAACCCATTGTTTAAAAAGAACTTGGCAATAGACTTCTTTTTATCAAGGGAAATATCCTTTCATAATGTCACCAAATAGTTCCTTAATCAGTCTGTTTGCTAAGACTGTGTGCATGTGTGTAAGCTCTCCTTTACTGGAAGCTGGAAATCTGCAGATGGTCAATGAGATTACAGAAGAAAAAGAAAAAACAACACCACCACCCAATCCCAAAACAAAAACCTGCATTCTGGAGGTGCCTGTGACAGGAAGAGCAAGTCCATTAGCCAAAATGCCTTATTGCCCTGTCCTGGCGGGGGAGAGGAGGGAGCCCGTTTTGCTGTCTCTATTTTTAAAATACACAATATTCTTTAGAGGTGAACTTAGCAGCCTGCACCTGGGCAGAGACACCCAGCAGCACCACTCGTGGGGAACCAAGTCTACATCACCAGCTTTTCCTCTGACCCCGAGCTGCCTCTCCCCAGCGTGAGGGACCAGCCAGGAGGTCCCACCTGAGAGGGCCTGTGTGGCAGATAGGTGTTCGTGCCCTTGACGGGGAGAGATAGGAAGTTAAGGAAGAAGGCAGGTACCTTGTCTGTGCTGTCACCATTTTAAACCTCTCTCTCTCTAACTTTTGCAGTCAGATTTAGAAAGCTGAAAAGTCAGGGAAAATGACTGTGCTCTAGAAAGACTCAAGAACATCCATCCAAGTATAAAACCAGGCACAGAGAGCCAGGACCTTGAAGGGTGTGAAAGCCGAAAATAGTAAGTGGTCAAACATCCCTGTCCTTAGGGGTTTTACTTACAAATTATTTTATCCTCTAAACAATCCAGTGAGTTGATCCCTATTTAGAACCCAGCTGTAAAATGACACCTATGAAGAAACGGGCTCAGAAGGTCAAGCAACTTGCCCAGGGACACACAGCTAGCAAGTGGTAGAAATGGGCTGCACCCTGTCACAGATACATCCCAGACCTTGTTAAAAAAGAATGCCGGCCAGTGTGTTAGGATAATGGCACTTTATCTGCTGTGTGCAGGGGACCCTTGCCACCCTCTGATGTGGAATACAGCAGTGTCTTATCCTATTACCCACCAGTTCAAGGCAGTCCTTGATTTTTCCCCAGCATACTGTAAGTGCTCACTGAGTATCTAAAATAACACACGAATGCAAAAAGGTGGAAAATGGGGATGTGGATTCTATAAGAACTGATTCTCACATGGAAACAAGTGCCAGGCTGTCCCAGAAGAGTCCCCTCCTTACTGGCCTCCAGAATCCCCTCTTTCTTTTCCAGGCCGACTGCAAGGCTTGCCTCTCCCAAATCAGCCTAGTAACAGGCCCTAAAATGATTCAATACACATTCAGGGTTCCTGGCTGCTAAGGCCCATCAGTGAGACAGTTAGTGGGACAGATTCAGACGCAGCAAAGCAAGTACGGGGGACTCCAAGAGATGGTCCCCCAGCCCAGCCCAGCCTCTTACCTCTTCCTCTCCACTCACGTCCTCCTCTTCCCCTTCCTCCTCCTCTTCCTCGTCCTCCTCGTCTTCCACTACCTGAGCATCTTCATCGTACTCTTCCTCTGCGAGTGGAAATGGGGACAAGGACAAAGGGGTGGTGAGTTGACCCCTCTTTCCTACAGTACAGGCCCCAGGTTGCTGGGCCTGGCACAGGAGACGCACTCCTTGATAAAGGGGCCACAACTCCCACACCCACCCAGCTCACAGCCTGGATGCTTTAATGTGATTGAACACAGCCTGAAGTCATCCAAAAGATAAGTATCCTAGAATGACCTCAAAGGTAAGCCCGCTTCCCAAGTATTCTGAAAAGGAAAGATCCCACATGGAAGCTAAGATGGCAGAGAAAATGCCAGATCAGAGAGCCAAGTTACAGAGCCCAGGAAAGCCAAGAAGTCAATGCATTCAGAGAGAGCATCAAACCAAATTCTACAGGTGAGGAAGTCGAGTCCCAGAGGGGAGAAGTGACTTGTTCAAGGTCACACAAGGAGTCAGCTGCAGAGCTGGGCTTAGAAGCCTGGTCTCAGGATTCCAGTCCTGAGACTTTTCTGTCCCAGCACAAGATAGAACAAACTAAGGCAAAGAGGATGTCTGAATACCTAGTAAAATACTCCCACCTAAGAAGGGAAAAGCACTCTCATCTGTGAATTATTCAGGCAAGATCTCAACCCTCAACTTCGGCCACGAAGGCCTGCAGGGAAATGGCACTGAGCTGGCAGTGTGGAGAGGAGATGAGACAGGAGGTCCTCCTTCCTCTTCCTTCTCTCCTTCCTGTAAGTCCCTGACTCCTTACAGCACCACCCAGGGTACTGCCTACAACCTCCTCTGCTTCCAAGATCCCTGGGGCTCCTGAGTCCTCACCCCCCAGGTCCTGCCATGGGGTCCTATGGGCGGCAGCCACCAGGGGGCCCCACAATCTCACTGGCCATGACCTCATCTCCACCACTGGACCCTAGATGAGAAGAGGGGACCCTCAGGCCTTGCCCCACCTTCCTCCACCTGCTCATCTCCTCCCCGGAAGCAAATCCAAGCCCAGTGTCACACTAGAGAGACACCGTAGGATCTCATTTTGGGGAGGACTTTGGAAAAGGGAAAGAAACTGAAAGGAGGATTCAATTTTTTTTTTTTGATGTGGACCAATTTTAAAGTCTTTTAATCTGTCACACATCTTTTCTTTTTTGGCTGCAAGGCATGTGGGATCTTAATTCCCTGACCAGGGATGTCCCTCAGATGGTTTCTAAGGAGTTACCATGCAGTTGGAGAACCTCGGATGTTTCTCTGGGCTCAGGCCCTGTTACTACAGGGGTGTCAGTCAATGAGACAGACCACGACAGCAGTAAACAAAGCGGACAGCCTGCTCCCCTCCACAGCTCTAGAAAGAGGTCGACTGCTCTCAGGGACCAGCAACGCCCAGTCTGCCCCCCTGTAAGACCTGGCCTGGCCTCCCCTGGCGCCACTCACCATCCTCGTCCTCCTCGTCGTCGTCCAGGCCCTCCACGTAGCCCTCGGCATCTGAGTCGGGGGCCTCCTTGTCGTCCCGATCGTAGCCATCAAGATACGTGAGCTGCGGAAGGAGCTTGAACACGTTTTCTCGGTAGTCGTTCAGGTTGGTCACCTCACAATTGAAAAGGTCTAAGCTCTTGAGGTTTTCTAACTTTTTCTGCAAGGAAACAGCAAAGTCAGCCGGTGAGCGGGATGAGGAGACAGGTGGGCTGACGTGAGACAGCATGCAGAACTCATGGGTGAGGAGCAAACCCCGGTTTGGCTCCGTCTGGCTGTGTCACCCCTGGTGGGGAGCTTCCTGTTCATTCATGTGAAAGATGGGGGGCTGGAACTGAGGATCTTCAAAGCCTCACCCAATGCCAGCACTTCTATTCTGCAATTACAGCGTTTGCCATAACATGGACAAGTTTGAAATTAACCTGGGGCTCTCTTGTTGCACAAGCCAAGAGCTCTGGAGCCTGCCCTGTGTCTGAGAAGCCAGAGAGGAACTGAAAAGGCCACAGGAACGCAAACTACCTCCTTCTGGGAATAATAATAATGGCAATTAATACTGCACTTTGTGTATTAACTCAGTTAATCCTCAACACACCAATAAAGCAGAAATAATTATTAGTTCATTTTATAGAAGAGGAAGCAGAGGGCATAGAATTGGGTTTTGATCAGGCAGTCCAACTTCAGACCTGTGTTCTTACACTCTGCAATACTGCCTGTCAAAAAGGACAAGAGAAGAACCAATGAAGGATCCAGATTTTGTCCACAGTACTTAATACCGATGGGTTTAACTGACGGGTTCTGGTCCATGTTACACTTGTTGGTAGCCGGATTCTGATGCCCAGGAAGTGACAGGGTCACAGAGCTGGCAAGAAACAGCTACATCTTTCCAGTTCCCTCATCTTCCAGGAGGAGGTACCCACCTCAGGCCAAGTCCCTGCTCCAGTGGGGCCAGGCCTAACTGGTGATTAAAGAAACTGTCTCTCAAGGTCAATGTCAGGAACAAGGTCATTCTCTTGAGATTTCCTGATTTGAGACCTGGTCATTTTCAGCAGAAGGTCAAGGGTAGGGAGGGAGTTTGGGCTGTGGGCTGGGTGGGTGAGGCCCACCTCTCCCAACCAAATGCGGTTCCCCACTCTCAGGAGTGAGTGAAACACAACAATCACACCGATAACCAAAGAAGAAACTACAAAAACACGAGTATTCTAGGCCAAAAGAACACTGTGTGTGTGTGCACACGTGTGCATGTACAGTCTCCATAACTTGCCTCCCAAAACACACATACACAGAACTTCGAAGATTTTTTTTCAGTTTATAATAAAATTATGAAATCGAAGTTTCTAGCTAGATAAATATAGCTGCTTTCCCCTAGGAGATCAGAAGTCCTAAAAGAAAGTTCTATGGGAAATCTATTCTCGTAGTTGACCTCATGCCACAGATGGGCAGGTAAAGCCTGAGTTTGGAGGAGAAATGCCAGCCTCCCATTCTGCCACACAGGCACATCAACCAGGCCCTCAGGTACCCACGAAGTACAAGGAATGCTTTTTGGACAAGAACCCAAAACTGAGAGATGCCCCAACTGCCACCTCTATACCCAGAAAAAGGAGAGGTGCAAACTTAGCCAAATATCCTTATGGCCCTTTCCTGATTCTAAGGTGGCCAACTTACGAAGTAACTCTTATGTATATATTTATGCTAAGTGTCAGTTTAATGCAGTAGTATCTCTATATTTCAAAAAACAGAAATCAGTGATTAATTAATCAAAAATTAATCAATGGTACATCTTATAGTTGATCTCCTTAAAGTCAAGTGAATACCTTCACTCGGATATGGGTAACACAGAAACTGCTGTTCTGATCATGACCTGCCCTTTTCTGGTGAGTGTATCCTGAAGTCTGGGTGTGCTCAGCTTTATGTGGACAAGCAAAGGAGGACATGCTGCCCAGGTCTTTGAGTCCATGGTCACCATCACAGCCAGGACTGCTGACCAGGGTCACTCTTCTCTACACCCTTTAGAGAAGTGCATGGGGCTCCAGTACCACACAGCTTCCTGTCATCCCAGGGGACCTGCATCAGGCCCAACCCACCTTCAGAGGCACCAACCTCTGGGCAGTGACCCAAGGAGAAAACAGGCAGCCACCTTCAGGGCCAGCTGAGTTCCTGGATGGCTCCCCTCTCCCCAGTGAAAGGCACAAGCCAGGCTCTCAGCCTAAAGAAACGACAGCTCGGGTTTCCAAAGCTGAGTGGGAGCTCTAAGAGGAAAAGCACCAGGACCAGAAACTGAGGCCTGGGTCCTACAGCATTCTTCACACCCTCAGGCTCTTGGTCAAGCTCTCTTTAACTTCTCGAGGCCTCAGTTTCTCTATACACAAAGCAGAATTCCATCTCATAGCACATAATTAAACACAAAAAGCATGTCATACAAATGTAAAAGTAGTGTTCCCTGGTATCAACCCCTCCCATCCCAGAGGAGAGGGGAGGCCCCATGACTCACCAGTGGCTCTATTGTGCTGAGGTCTTTAATTTTGTTGCCACTTAAATTTAGATGCGTGAGGTTCGGACACTTTTCTGCCAATACTTCCAGGCCCCCTGAGATTCTGTTATCACTTAGTTCAAGCTAAACGAGGCAGGGAGAGAAAAAGCAGAAATGACTCTTAAAATGAAGGCTCTGGGCTCAGGCGTTCAGCTCTTTGCAGACGGGCCAGGAAGGGAGTCAGCTCAGGGAAGGGGCAGGTGTGCTGGGGCTCGGCCTGGCTCCCCTGCAGTTATGCTTCCTCAACCTGGAGAAATGACCCGGTCCTCCTCCCTAGCCCACTTCCCAAGCACACCTGCACCTCCGCTCTATTTACCTTCTTAAGTTTGTTTAACTTTGGTAAGTTTGCGACTGAGGTGAGGCCGACGTTGATTGTACTCAAGAACTCCAGTTCTTCAAATTCATCTGTGAGGCCTTCGATTTTGCCTTCATTCGACCGACAGTTGTCCAGGACGAGCTCTTTTACCTGGGAAGGGAAGGAGGGAATGAATCGGGGTGAGGAACGGGGGTTGAGGCCGGGGATGGGGGGAGGACAGGAGGCAGACCAGGAAGCCTCGCAGCGCCAGCGCCCACCCTGGTCTTTCTCTGCTTTTAGCAACACTGAGGTGGGGTGGGGAGAGGTGCTGGGGTGACTGGAACTGCAGAACCAGGGGGCCCTTCTGGACAGGCGTCTTGGCTGGACCAGAGAAGACAAATCCAATAACCCCACTGCTGACAGCAAGGTTGGGAGTTTCTTTCCAACCCTGCTGCCGCACCTCAGCCCCCAGGCTCCCCACTGCACCAGCCACAATGCTGTTAGGGAACCTCTGGGACTTGCCATTCCTTCTGAGCCCCTCACCCTAGGGCCCGCCATGGTCCCAGCCTGACCACCTTCCTGAGGCCCCTACCTACCACTTCCCCTCCTCAGTCTCCACTGTCTTTTCACCTCTGAGTCCATGACCCTCTGCATGCGGATGGGTCCCGGGATGTTCCTGAACCCTATCCTGCCACCACAGTCAGAGCCAGCCCACCCAGCCTGGCAGTCGTCACCTGGTCACTGGCTTGGCCTGCCCCAGAGTAAGGGCTGCAGACCAGGGACCCCGCTGACTCCATTCTGTAGACCAGTGCTGTCGAACAGAACTTCCGTGACGATGGAAACCCATCCAGGAGAGAAGCCACTAGTCACATGTGGCCCGGTAAGGTGAGACTGAGGAGCTAAGCTTTAAATTTTATTCAGCTTTAATCAATCAAAATGCAAAGAGATGTATCACAGTTACCACATGGAATACCACAGTTCTAAACTTTGCTCTTCAGGTCCTGAGAGCCAATGTGCAAGGAAAATGGACATCCACAAGCCCAGGATGAACCCACACAGAATGCTGGGCTTGGCAATGTCCAGAAGTTGGTCTTTGGAGATACCTCTGTGGCCCTGCAGGCCTCCTTCCTCCCTGGAGGTGGTTCTGCCCTGTTAAGAGACCTTAGAGCCCCTCTCTTAACTTCTTATCCAGAAATTGGGCCCTAAGGCCTTTATTTCAAATGAGGGAGAAAGAACTGATAAAGAGCTACCATCTCACTGGGTTGTTAAAAGGCAGACTTGGCTAAAGGAGAGGGTCCAGGCTCCAGCACAGATGGTAGGGAGACAGTCTGAGGAAGAGTCATCAGCTCTCAAGCCTGCCATGACCGAGGCGTGTCAGTAAGGGATGCCAGGGTGCCTGGCCTGCCACCAGATGCCCGGAGCTGTCCACTCCTGTCCTGAGCTGGGAGGGGGCTGCTCCCCAGCCTTCCATGGATGGTGGGTGCCTTAAAGGTGATCCCTCCTGGCTGCACCTGGTGCTTGACACTGCACTCCCACCTGCCTGGTCTCTGCAGCCTCCAGGAAATGTGTACTCATGTTGCCTGGATCCAATGCTCCTCGGGACTTCCATCCCTACGTTTGGATTTCTCACCCATGGGTCACTTGAGCCAGGCCTATCCTGTCGACAGCAGACCTGCATTATCATTCCTGCCCCTCGCAGCCTTTTTTCCTCTTGGATAAGCGAAGGCCTATCCTAACCAGTCACTGTCCAGGGCTGCTCCCCACCTCTGGGCAGGTCCATTTGCCCAGGGTGACTGTCCGCCACAGGGTCCTCTTACTCGGGTATCACTGGGACATATGTCCACATGGGAGAAGAGAATCCCCAGCAGGTGTTGTGCCCCTCCCTCAGTCTGCCCTTGCCAGAGGTCAGACTAGGAGAGCTCAGGGCCTATTTGGGCCACAGCGCCCTGCAGGTGCCCTGCTGTCTTCTTCCTTGGTGGAGAGAGGTGGCCTGCTCAACTCAGGACAGGAGCAATTTGGCAGGAGGGGTGAAGCCAGGTGCAGCAGCTCCTATCCGGAGCCAGCAAGCTCTCAGCCAGGCACCGGCTCCAAGGCCCACCTTTCCCTTGGATCTGAGACAGGGGAAGTTAAGTCCTTTCCCACTCTTCAGGGGAGGACAGATGTCCGGGTCAAGCCCCCTTCTCAAGGTCACTGGCAGGACACGGGGAGGAAACCCCATGAGGCCTTCTGCCCCGGGGCAGGAGGTCAGTGCAGAGCCAAGAAGCCAGGTCTTCGGGGAGCGAGTGCCACCTCCTTCGTGGGCAGTTCTTGCTGGGGTCACAGGACTAGGCTCCTTCAGTCACTCCTTTCCTTGGAAGGCCCTGGGAATTCTTTAAGTTCCATTACAGAAAGACAAATATGAGGAGGCTTTCCAGTCTACCTTCAAAGATTTCAGACATGTGGTTCTCTAGAGGGGTCAGGGCTTCTATTCTTGTGGCCACCAGCCAAGGAGGAGGCCTCAGTAAGGGGGGGCCAGGAAGCGGTGCTGCAGAGTCAAGGGAATTCCTCCGGGAAGTCTGCCTCTTTCCCAGAACGGCTCAGTGCTGCCTGGGGATTCTCCAGATAGAACCAAGGTTCCAGTCCTAGCACCACACCCAAACGGGTGGCCATTCCTCTTGGGGACGACATGCAAGACACCACTACTAACAACAATGATTGTTTCTTCATTAACAACAACCAAGGGCTCTTTCCTGAGCCCTCAGCAGGCACTCTTTGCAGGCGCTGTCTCATTTGATCCTCATAATTGCCCCATGGCGTGCTCCTGGGGTGCTGTCCTATTGTACAGCCACATCAGCACCACTGATCCTAAAGGTGCAGGAACAGGCCCTGATGGTCAGTGTTGCCACTGATGAGGAGGGTTTCCTTGCTGTTCCCAAGCAGGGCACAGGTTCTCCCAGACCCCCGAGTTCAATCCTACAAACTACCCTGACTGCACTAAACCCCCTTCAGCCCCTTTTCTAGCTGTCCCCACCCTGGTTACACTTCCTCGGTAACCAAAGCACAAAACCTAACTCAGCCCCCATTCCAATGACACTGCAGTCAGGAGCAAGGATCTGGACAAAGGCCGGGGGCCTGAGACTCCACGCCTCCCCAAGGAGCAAAAGGCTGCTTCCCATCACTCGGGAGGGAGAGCCTATGGTGTCTGGAAGGCCAGGTGGCTGCTCCAGGTCTGTGGGGCCTTTGGGATCCCCATGGTTTCTGCATTTACTTCCTGGCGGGGTTTCAGCACAGTCTGGGGAGAGATCAAAGGGGGTGGGGTAGGTGGGCTGAGGCTTACACCCTGAGGTTGCTGATATTACCAGAAAGCCCAAACCACGGGGGAAACCCATAGTTTCTTTGTGGGGTGATGAGTCACATTGGGGATGGCAGGCAAGCAGACTGATTTGCCTGTAATGGACCAAACAGGAAAAAACAAAAGGTCCAGTCCAACAGCTGACCTGTCGAAGGCATGGCATCCAGCCCTGTTCCACCTGCTTCCACGCAGGGCCGCGCTTTCTTACAGCTCCAGGGCGTGTTTCAAAACGTCCAACCCACCCCAAGCTTCCTTAAATTGACTCTTAGAAATCCTGCCGCAATTCCAGCCCACTTCCTCCCGTCTCTCCTTAGTGCTGCTGCTGCAAACCCTTCCTCCATGTGAAGAGAACATCCTTGTTACATTCAGGGTGTGTTCTGCTTAAAACAGAAAAAAAAAAAGTAAGGCCCATTCCCCCCTGCCAAACCCTGGGTGTGAGCTAAGTGCAAAGTTAAAATTAAACTGAAAATTTGTACTTTGGGTTTAAACTCTCTCCCAATCCCACTGGCCGTTTAAAAATACCAAAATGTGGTTACTCTCTCTAGAACCAACGACTGGACTTACTCTGCTTCTACCAGGAGCTTTTCAGTCACCCCAATGACAACCCTCCACAGGAGCCTTTGGCTCATTCCTCAAGTGTTAACACCTAAGAGGTATATGCATATTCATACTCGGGCCCCCCTGGAGATGCCAGGAGGGCACTGAAGGTTCCTAAGAAATCAGACTGCCTGGCTCCGGCATTTCCTGAAAAAAGTGTCCCCAAAACAAGACACGGCAGTCATTTCTCACCAAGGGGAGCTGAACCGTCCGTGATAAACACGAACACATTATTACTCTAAGGAAGAACCCGTTGCTTGTTTCAAAACTGTGAATCTTGTCTTCACAGATCTCTCAAATCTGACCATTCTTCTCTACTGCCAGCAGTGCAGTCCTGTTCACGGCAGCCTAAGTCACTCTAGATCCGATCCGACTTCCAAACGGGGCCTCTGTGACAGCAGGAATGCTGGCCTACTGGGAACAGACCTCCACCCGGAAGCCCGGCCCAGCTGGCCGGATGACCCCGACTCTACCCCTGAGGTCTCAGGCTCTGCCCTGCAGAAAAGGGACAAAGATATCTGCTTAGCCTATAAAGCACAAACTCTGGCCTAGAAAACATTCTTGGCTTCCCGCCGCCTCCGGGAAAAAAAATCAAGGTCCTAAACTGACCTAAGGAGGCCTTCTACTCTCAACCTCAGCCAACTTCCTCCAATCTCATTGCCCCCACCCCACCTCTCACCCTTGCCTACAGACCAAGTTAAGCCCCCCTCCTCAGGAAAACTTCAGCGCCCAGCTCTGAGCATCCCGGGGCACCGAGGGCAGCTGCCACGTGAATCATTTAATCGTGTATTAAGCATCCGATCCTCCTAGAGGTCAGGGACTGTCCTTCTCTGTAATCAGCCTAGTGGGGAGCGGACAGCCGAGCAACTGCTTAACAAATGTCCTGTTTATCGTGCCGGCCACAGCACTAGGTGCCAGGCATGCAAAAGGAGACACACCATTGTGAAATTAACAGTGCAACTGGTCTGACACAAGTTGAACAAGCCCTCCCTTTTATAAACAATAACAACGTGTTCTGGTGTGTCTTGCGTCTGCCAGGCAAGCCCTGTGAGGAGCTCGGTCAACAGTGCACCCTCCTCTTGACCTGACCCAGTGCTCTGCATGCACGTTCTCTTGCCCGTAAGAAACCCCCTCTCTCCACCCAGCAAGCTCCTGTGACACTGACCATCTAAGCAGCGGAGGGGACGCAGAGGCAGTAAGGATCCACAGCTGGGATGCCTGCCAGCAAGAGGTGTGGGGGCAG